TCTGCTTCTGCTCAAGGGCTTCCCATCCAAGGAGAAAGGCATTTCAAAAACACTCTATAAACAGCATGTTAAAGTCATCCCAGAAAGATGCAAAACAACAAATCTTTCTCATCCTCATTACAACCTTTTGCCACGCCTTCCCCCATTTTGTACAGCCGAAGGCTGTTCTACATGAGATCAAGATATTTGCAATGTTTACACGCATTACACAACAACATCTTTCTGTCACATTTGCGACTCTCACATCATCCTTTTTGGTATTTTGGTCCCTTAAAAGCAGTGATGGAAAATCCAGGGAGCTCCTGAGCAACCTCACAGATGCAGATGCTCTGCAGATTCCCTTGAATTCCCCAGTTCTGCAAGAACCGATTATTTGCAATCTTTCCTTTCAAGGACACTGCCAGGGTCAGCAGTTACTAACATGGTAAGATAGACATTACAAAATATGAAACCAAACCAAACAAAAAAAAACAAAGCAGAAACAAACCCTTTGCAAATATTTTCTTTTAGACTGCAATAGATAACAATACACCAAGTTCAAGTATAATATCAGCTGTATTTCTGACATTCTGTGTTTGGAAGATTATCCTTTCAGAAAAACTGACTATCAGACATTTTCATCTTCACAATTGTTCTGTTACCAGCTGTAAATAAAAACTCTTAAGCACCTATGTACCACCAACTTCTGCAGTGTGCATGAACCCTGTAGTACTAAAAGCACTTTTACAGTAGGCTATTTTTGCTATGCTCTTACCCTTTGAAATTAATTCCAGCATAGTCATGACCCCACAATGACCAGTTTGTGCTTTTCTGAGCTGCAAGTCTGTAATTTCCACAGGCAATGCTACTTTTTTGTTTACATTGTAGTAGACAACTTGTTCTCTCTTCCCAAACAGTAATGCTCATGAGAGAAGATGTAAAGTAAATTCTTCATCAAATACCTACACAGTGACATGGCCAACAATATTTGCCTTGCAGCCAAGATGACTGCCTTCTTCTCACTGATACCTCGCCTCAATTTTTGCACAGTTCTCATTTTTCACAACACTGTCTATGAACAGGCACCATCTGATGCATGTCCACATAAGCACACTGAGAAGAGCTCCACAGTTCACATTTATCAGCAGTCCTTGATGGACACCCCAGCCCAGACATCCAAAATGAAGGCGGACAAGATGACACAACAAAGGCAAATCACACATTCTGTGAGTTATTTGTGATTAATTTTAATTTGTTTATAGCCATACACTAAAGATGGGTTTTCATATTAAGAAAAACTTTTTTTTGCTTAAAACTTAAGTCACCATTCACATACTTTGAATAATTCCTCTGCTGCAATCAGCTGACTTTTCAAGGACTTGGTCAACCTGAGGATTATTTTCTTTTGCAAACCACCCATTTTCTCATGTTCATTTTTGCAGTGAAGACAAGGGCGGGGGGAGTTTCCAATGCCGCGTTCCGCTCACCCCAAAGCCGAGGGGCTGCCCTGGCCACCAGCAATACGCAGTGCATGGCTCAGCACCCAGGGCAGCCCCCCGGGCTCATCCCCAGCCCTTGTGCCTGCCCACAAACACTGCCTTGCTGGGCCAAACTCTGCTCTCAGTGCCCCCGAGGAACTTCATTGTAGGCAGAGTCTGGCCCAGGGGAGCGACAGGACATCACAAGGGGAAGAAGGGGATGCTGGTGTCAGAGCACTCAGCTGAGACCCCGGGGTGGTAAGGAGGGAAAATTTTCATTTCCAAAATTGTTATGATTATGTTGTCTGTTCACTTATTTTTATTAATCAGTACAAAAATATAAATACAAGCTTTAATTTTAACACTTAAAAAAAGAAGAAATATAATTCACATCTTTCTCCCTAAATAATATATTACACAACAGGAGGCAGAGAAACTCCCCAAAACCGATGAGATTCTCCAGTCATCTGAGGACATCAAAAGTGACATCAGTAGTTTTTATCTGGCCACCAAGAACTGCTTCCCTCAAATGTTTCCAGTGAGGTTTCTCTGTGCCTCCCAACACGGGCAGCCACATCGGGATTTTACGACATCCTTGCACAGCGTGGCCTTCTGAGCGCTAGTCAAGACCAGGCTGGTGGGATGTCCACCCAGCAGTGATACACATCATCGCAATTCACAACAATTTCACAGAGGAACAGCCTAATCGCCACATCTCTTTTCTTCGATCCAAACTCATATTGCCTGGCAACTGGCTGCTACAAGTCATCACGCTCCGGCTCCCAAGGCCATGGAAAATTCATAATGTCCTGTCATCACCGCCCACCTTGCCATCAAATGTCTTCTCACAAAATAGCCTCGTAAAAAAGGGGATTCTGTATTGTAATTCTTTTGAAGACTTGCAAATGCGAAAGAGCTCACTTGCCCCATTTTTAAGCAGTCACCAATGATTTTGCTTGCTTTTTAGGCATATTTTAGAAAAAAAAGAGTGCCAAGTCCCTTTGCAAGAACACATTGTTTCTGGAAGCCATCACACTAATAATGAACAAAAGAGCTACTGTATACAAGCAGGCTATAGGTGACATTTCAAAATATAAATGATTATTCTTTTCTTTACTCTGACAACTTCCAGGTTATCAATTGTTTTCTAAGCATTTTAGGCTCCATGAAACTGGCATTATGGGGAAATGCTATTGTTTATCCTTTCACACTTGACAAAAGCAATTCCCACGTGAAAGACAAGTTTAGCCATGGGACACAGTCTCGATACCTAAAGGAGGAAATAGTCTGGTGAGTTCCCAAGCGCAAGAAACTGTCATGTTGTCACCCTCTATTTTAAAAGCACAGCCACTTTGTTCCTTTGCTGTCGCTATTTTGGTCCCTACGTTCTGTTTTGTTATGGCTTAGGTAAATGCTATATAGATGATCAATCGTAAATGTAACCAAAAATAATAAAAGCTATGTATTGTAAAAAAATAAAGTTATCAGATCTATTAAAAATAGCAACTTCTTCCTTATACAGAATTTATAATACACAGAAACATCTCATAGCAAAATCATGAGGAAGGAAAAAAAAAGGCGAAACGCTCACAAGGAAGTTTTAGGTTGCCCTTAATTCTCCTTCAGCACTTTGGCTGGTTCTTAATCCCCATAATAAATCCAATTGTCATTTGCATACCAAAAGCAATGAATATTTTTAATGGCTTCAATTTTGAATTTGTGTTTTAAAAAACGTATTAAACAACTCACTGTGCTGGCTGCAACCTTGTCAGTCATGTTAGTGTAATATTTCTCATTTAATACATTACAAATTCCTGAATCTTCAGGCCAGGAGCAATACTCACACTTTTATCAGTAGCTTTTTACATTAGTGCAGAACTGACTTTAAAAATTGACCAACACAGCAACTGGAAGTCTACCTGGATTTATTTGGAGAAACATGGTTCACGTCTGTCAGTTTTAAAATCATCATTATTATAAATGATATGATAGGTCTGTGCATTATATCAACATTTTTATTTCTTCCCTGCATACTTCCTTTAGAAGATACCTTTTAAGATTAATGTACTTTAGTGTAGAAAATAATTTCAAATAAATAAGCATTAGAACTTGCTCAGCAGGTAATATTTATAAGTCCATCAAGATCAGATTAAAATAAAAAATATATAGTCCAGTCAATCTCAAACTGAATTGTGCTCATTCCACACATTCAAATTAACTTATTAAACGTCCATTGTTGACTGAAAACAGCAGTTTTAAAAGTTTATCAGTTTATTCAGCTTTGGCACTTTTGATGAGGCCGATATCAAAGTGGAAGAAAAGATTGATCCAAAGTTTTCCTTATCGCTCAGTAGGAGACAGCAAGAGAAAAAATAACAACATGCAAAATGTAGCGCAGGGGATCTTCCAAACCCCAGCTTCCACGTGCCTTGTCAAAGCAGAAAACACCCGTCTGAACTCAACTGGAAGCTCACGCGTTACGATTTTGTTTGCTATTCCTCCTACGTCCAACCCATGGGGGAATGTGCACCACCTCAGGGCCTGAAAGGTAGCAACAGTAATAAAAAATCAAGATGATATGAGACACCTGTTACTGTTTAATGAGTCCTTTAATGTTTTACATTGCTTTGTGTTGTACAATCATTCCTTGTGCTTTTATATTTGAGGATCCGAGAGTAAACAGCCTTTTTGTTGCAGTGCTCACCTCTGATTGTAACGTCTTTCTTTTGAAGCACTTCTTTCCCCGTGTATATGTTCCTTGCTCGGCAGGCATAGGTGCCCGAGTGTGCCAGGGAAACGTTCTTGATGGTCAGAGTGAGGGTGATGGAGTACTCCTTGTTGAGAGACCTTTTTACTTTCGTTTGATTGTTGACTGTCCTCGGTAAAATCCAAGCAATGTCTTTGTACAGGAATTTGTTGGCCGAACAGGACAATATCAAATTCTCTCCTTCGATGGGCATTTTTTCCAAACTAATATGGAATCCACCCAGTACATCTGTCAAAAATCAAGAACACTTTTTAGTTTATACGAAATGAATGAGCCAAAATTAACACGGCATATATTTTTCCCTTTATCAGGAAGCCTTTGAACTAATCAATGTCGTTGTCTTCCTCAATGTCTTTTTCTTCCTTCTGAAGTCTGTAATCTTTCCTTTCATATGCTAGGCTCCAGCAATTCTTATAATTTGTCTTGGAGCTACGAGACACTTGGGCTCAGACATCAGTTGGTGTGAACTGAAGTTACTCTTGGAAGTGATGAGTTTGTATAAATGTTATGCCAAGTTAAGACAAACTGGGGTAAGGTACCAAAAGCAGAATTATTTAAAGACAGGGCAGTAGGACTACGAAAAAGAGGAAAATTCTGATCTCAGCTCCAGCCTGTGAACTGGATGAGAGAAAATGAATCCCAAGAGGACAACAGAAAAATACTGTAGCTCATCGTGCTTGGTTGTATTGTTTTCTTGTTATTCATAAGTATTTAGACAAATCATATCTGTTTTTTAAAAATGCTTCAAATCCTGAGAAATAACTGAATCTGTGATTACACGCCTGAGATTTATCCTTGGAACAGATTTACCCTCCATGCATTTAAAGTGCATCAGCCACCCAAGAGGAAAGCAGAAACAGTACCTGCTGGCCTGGGTGGCCAGCTGTGTGTGGGCAGCACTAGGATGAAGACCATTCTATTCAGACATCTTGTCATTAAACATAAGTGAATAATATTTCCACCTGAGAGAAATCAAGGACCATCACACCAAACATTGACTAAGTGTAAATATGACCTAAGTTTTCACAAGGATTTTTCATAGCTGATAGTTCAGGCAGGAATAATTTAGCCACCAATGTAAAAAGTCACACTTGAAAAAGTCATGTTGGCGGTTCATAGTAACGTTACTGCAGCTTCCTCCACCTGGGGAGCGGCGCAGACCCGCAGCGGTGCCAACTGCCTCCTGGCCACCTCCACCTGGGGCTCATCTCTCCAGCGAGGGTGAGTTACACCATTGACCTCAGTGAAAGTAGAAGCAAGTTCCTGAAAGACAGCACTTCCAAGTTTTACTCCTAGAGTGCAACCTCTCTTGGTTTATTTGTAGCCAATATTCTGATAAAGTAATTTCCTTTTTCTCAGTTAATTGACATCGAATTTGGCCATTTTCAATTGTTCTTTCACTGCTAATTGCTATGGCACTTGGCTGTGAATTTGACTCAAAGTCATAAGAATGGTTTCATCTTTCATAAGAGACAATTATCCCTTCTTTTCTCATCTCTTAGAGCATGAACATCTCAACACTGACTTTCATTCAGTTCTGTGCTTACCAATGTCGCTTCAGGTTTAATGTCACATCAGCAGGGATACCTAAAGAGTAGATCTCCAGTTGAGATCCAGTTGAGATCCATTGACTGACCAATCCATCAGAAAGCTTCTCCCTAAATCCCCACAACACAAATTGAGCTGCCTTGCCTCTCCAGGGGGACCATGAACATGACCTGCTCACTGCTACCTTTCAAACAAAGTTCTGCCTGTTGAAAGTCTGGCATCACTTGCCCCCCTTAATATCCTTTTTTTCCACACTTAACCCTGAGTGTTAAACACAGGGTAAATGAGCTCCTGCAAGTCCTGGATTGAAATTTCCTCTGACTGTAGCTGCCTTCCAGGGAGAGGCTTGATTTCTGTTGGTTGAACTCATCGTGCCCTTGCAGTTGGAGCAAAGTGTGTGCCTATCGTCAGCTGTAGTTCAGATGTATAGTCCAAAGATCAACCTAATGGAGGCAATGACACTAACATATTAGATTGGATATTAAAGCCTGTGTGTTGACTTGCTCCTCTTACATTTCATTGGGAATCCCCTTTTTTCCTCTCTCCAGCGAACAAAACTATAAGAAAAACTTTACATTTAGTGAACTCATCTATGAGTGACTATCAATCATCAGCGTCCTTTTTGATATGTAAAGGTGCATGGTGCCAGATTCTGATCTCAGTTAGGAACATGTCAACTGGAAGATGAAACCT